GGGACCTGAACCTGTTCAGCCTCCACAAGAGAAGGCTGAGGGGGGATCTAGTGGCCTGTTACAAACTAGTCAGAGGGGACCAGCAGGCATTGGGGGAGTCCCTGATCCCCCAAGCACTACCAGGAGTGACTAGGAATAAAGGTCACAAGCTGGCAGAGAGTAGATTTAGGCAAGATATCAGGAGGCACTACTTCACGGTCAGGGTGTCTAGGATCTGGAACCAACTTCCAAGAGAAGTGGTGCTGGCTCCTACCCTGGGGGTCTTTAAGAGGAGGCTAGATAAACACTTTGCTGGGGTCACTTGACCCCAGTACTCTTTCCTGCAATGGCAGGGGGTCAGACTCAGTGATCTGCTCAGGTCCCTTCCGACCCTACAAACTACGAAACTATGAAAGGCCTACTGCACTTGAACATATTCAGTACCTCACAGAACTGGATTTTCAGTGCTTTGTAATAAAAATGTTAGTTCCGCAAGCTATTTAATTTAGGAATTAAATTTTGGCTGAAAGCTTATTAACACACTAGGGTGGCTCTGGAATGTTAAAATGTCTTTAAAGACCTCCACTGCCCTGTTTATCTTAAAGACTAACCTTTGATAGACTGCACCAGAATGGTAGCTACAATTGAGATCCCTTCCTGCTGTTTATCAACAGCTGTTAACTAACAAACACTTTTGGAAAAGCTATGCATTCCTGCTGAAATCATTGCTGCTGCAATGATGAGACTTACACAAAAAGTTGTTCATACCACCTTCTGATCTGTTTGAAACCCAGTAGCAATCCACTAATTCATACTTAGTTAATCCACATTTTCAAAAAATTAAGAATGTCCCAAGGGGCATGAACCTTGGAAGCCCCATTGCTTGCACTGCCCTACATTTCCTGTTTGACTTTAAGCATTTAGAGAGAATTCCACAAAAGAACATAGGTAGTCGGATGCTAAGTGTAACGATAACTAACATTTAAGCAACTGATCTCAAGAACAGAAACTACAGCCTTTAATTAGGGGCTTAATGACTGTTAGAGAAAATATGACTTCCAGGCAATCCTCGACTTATAACGTTTTGAGTTACAACATCTTACACTCACAACATTTATAAATTGACACCCTGTTACAACTTTCTAATGTCAGTTTCAACTTTACAACACTTGATCTGATGCAACGCCATACCAGTGAACAGCTTGGCTGCATTGCGTACCTCCCTGGAGAACACCTGTCCAAACTTCCTTGGACACTGCCTTTAAGAAAGCAGACAAGACTCCAGAAAAACGTGCAGCCAAGACTCCTGAGAAGACTCCAGCCAAGAACCCTTCAAAATTCTAACCAAGAGCTCTTCAAAAAGTACAGCAAAGCCACCTCAAAGAAGTCCTTCCAAATCAGTATGATTGCTATTTATAGTATAACTACATTAATGTAGCTATATTACTCATCTATAATTGATTGAGTACAAAAATCCTTGATTATTTTTGGTGAAAAAAAAAAATCAGGAACCAATCCCCCACTTATAACATTGTTTCCTGTGGGAAAAACTGGTTCCAAGTTACAATGTTTCGACTTAAGACGCAGTTTTCAGGAACCAATTGTGTCATAAGTCTGGGGACTGCCTGCATTAGATTCAAGGAACCTCCTGTCAGACTTAAGGTCCCCTTGAAAAATGCCTGCCCTTAGCTTTTACTTGCTTTTCAACTATGGAAAACATAATAGAGCAATTATTGTGTTGCAAGGAACTCAAAGGATCACAACAGATCAAAAATCTCTGGATTTATCTTGTGAATCATGTGTAGGTATTTGTATGCTTAACAGTTCTAATATTACCACACAGCCTGAGAAAGATCTGTCAGCACTCCAGGGTACCACGATACCCTGGTTGACAATCACTTCTCTGTTTCCCAGGAATATGTCTTAGAAATTCCTTAGGCAGAATTTGGACACTTAAAATCTGAGACTGTGATCCTCAAAACCCCAGTCTAACATCAGCGTTCCCTCTAAGCTGCACGGCCACACAGGTGCACTCATGCCACATTGCCAGGCGCACCTGCATAGCTTAGAGGGAATGATAACACTGTAGATCAGGGATCAGAAACCTACAGCCCACAGGCTGGATTTGGCCCAGAGGTATATGCAATACACAGCCCACAGCTCAGTTTGCTGCACCCCCTTCACCATGCTACTGATTTCCTCAGCAGCATCCCACACTGTAGCCACCCTCCTCTCACTTACCATCTCTCACTGCCTCCTACAACACGTGCCATTTACCATCACCTCTAAATTCGGGCCCTTCCTTCTGTCCCCAGTAGTAAAATGCAGTGGCACATGTAACAGAAATGACAGCAGGGGACTTGGCTGCTGCAGAGGAGTGGCGATTCACAGCAGCAACCAAGTCAAAAGCAACTGACATGCTACTCAAAGTGTAGTCAGGCAACCTTTTCAAGTTCGCATTTTTGTCTAATCAAGTTCCTGCCTAAAAAAGTATCCATAGCTGTAGCTCTCCTACCATCACAGACAAAATTCCCCATGATCCACAAAATAAGCATTACCCTGATGATAACTGTCTAGAGGGACCCAGGCCAGCAAATCTGACTTCTTTATTTTTTTTCAACACCAAATTATAAAGGCATTTCTAAAATGACTTCCTGAATATTAACATTCCTGATGGAAATCCTGTTGGAACCAGTTACAATATCTGTAAAAATATAGTTAAAGTGGGCAGTATGTTAAACTATTTTATTGTTTGGTGAATAGCAGTAGCTGTTAATCTACTTTTCACTAGTTTATTTTTTCAGCAGTTTATTTTTCTTTTCTCCTCCATCAACTTCTCTTCATTTTCCCTTCCATAAGCTACTAAAATGATCTCGATTTTCCTTGAATTAATCTTAATTCCTTTTGATTGTGTACACTTAGGTTACTTTAAAAACAGATTTTATGATCCCAACAGCAACCTAACAAAAGTTACAAGGCACTGAACTTATCTATGTTGTATAGTACCAATCAACAACAGAAGTGAAAATGAAATACCTTCTTTCAATTTCTTCTCTGTAAACAGCTTGACAGTGTTAAAAGAAAGTTTATATAAAAATTCACAAAGAAAGGTGGAATGTGAAGAATCTTCAGAGAAACCACTTTCAAAATGAGTATCATAGATCGGGAAATCTATAAAGAGAATGAATGCAGTTAGTTACACAATTTCCACTATGAAAAAGAAAAAAAGGTTTAAAATTTATGTCTCATTTCTTACATGTACAAGGTTTTCACCTACAGAAATGCAGTAGCTGCATGACTTAAACATATATAATTTCTTTTTACAGATATACTCCTACTAAGTTATTTTAATATACAAGCTAAATAAAATGGTGAGGAGCTAAAAGACAAATACTCCTATTTGTTGCAACATTACTGTGTTCTACCAACAGCAATAAATGTAAAGTAGCATATGCCTTTTTGGTTTTTTTTTAAAAAAAAATAGTTGCTCTACTAAAAACTTGTTTTAGAATCATAGACAAGCAGGGCTGGATGGTACCTCATAAGGTCATCTAGTCCAGCCCTTTATCCTTAACTAGACCATCCCAACCAAGTGTAAAATCTGCTCTTGAAAACTTCCAAGGATGGAGATTCCATAACTTTCCTAGGTAGCTTGTTCTACTGCTCTCTTAACCACTCTCATAGTCATGAAGTTCTTCCTAATCAACCTACAGTTCTCCTGTTAATGCTTGACGGCATTACTCCTAGATCTCCCCTGGCCAGAGAGAAAAGCCCAACTCCATTCTCTCTGTAAATAACTTATTTCAACATGGGATTTGTTTCTTGAGGATTTAGTTATGGCTTCGTCCCACTCAGGATTAGAAGACAACTAAACTAGGGGTGAGCTATGGCTTGCGGATCAGATCCAGCCCACAGAACCATTTGATCAGGCCCAAAGACATGTAGCTTAGGCAATCTTCAGCAGTTGTTTTCCAGTGCCACCATGGGAAGAAGTCCTGGTTGTCAGCACTTACTTTCCTTCTGCCACTATGGAGAAAAAGAGCAGCAGCACCTGGGTCTAGTACACACCCAACCCTGACCCAAATTGGGTCAATCAAACCTGCAGCGTTAAAATGTTGCTGACTGTTGAACTAAACAATTAAAGCCAGCTTTCTGGATTTTCCATATTCTAAGGGGAAAGAGCCCTCTCCCAGGCTCTTTAATACAGCATATTTTCCCAACATACCAGCTGAAACTGTAAGGGGATGAGAAACTTGCACTCTACATGGAGCTGTAAGAGTACTTTGCAACTTAATTTAATGCAGAAAGTTTATTAGTGCAGAATGTAATGTGCAAGAGAAGATTACCCCAAGCCTAAGTCTGTCTTAAATTCTGATTAGTATCTAGGTTGAATGCAAGGCATTGATCTTGACCTAAACCCCTCAATAATTTAGAAATACTGCTAAAGACTGTATTTCCCATCACAGTACTGAGCACAGGACTGTATGAGCTAATATTAATTAGATCGAGGGTTATGTCTGTGCTACAAGGTGCAATGTACCTAAGCTAACTTTAAAACAGCTTGTTCAGGTACTGAAAGCAATCTAGCTGGGTAAATTAGCTCATACAGACTCTTGTGCTGCTGCAGACAGTCTAATTCTGAAACATCAGCCAACACAGTTATCTGCACTAGAGTACAGTGCACGTATACCCTAGAGTAAAGATTTCTAGCTCTCTCAACATGTCTACATGAGATACTACATTGCCATAGTGTCACCAGGCACTAACTGTGATGCCAACGCTATTGTGCAGTAGCAACAAACTACTGCACAGTAGCTCATTGCTACTGGACAATGGCTGCTAAAAATAGCCATGTGGTATCAGGACTGTGCAGTAGAACCAGTTACTGTACAGTCCGCTGCACATGTAGACATACCCTTTGTGTTATTCCCCAACTTCTAATCACACATGGTTAACAGATGACAACTTTCTAGGCATGGTGGAAGGTTCATCTGTTTCCCCAACCTGTAACAGAAGTCAAGAGCTGAGATGTGGGTTGGCTTGGTTCAATTTGGGACTTTATTATTCTTACAAAAGGGACTTTATTATTCTTGCAATGGTCTGATTAAATAGATTAATTGTATTTTTTGTTAAAAGCTAGGCAAATACCAACTAGCGTCTTCAGATTCTTTCTGTGAAACCATAATGGCAGTAGATTTCTGGAAACAGAACTGCAAGTTTCATATGTGCATGTGTGTCTATAGTAAAATCTTAAATTTGCCATCTGAGAATAAAAAATGTCAAATGCTCAGAAACACAATTAAATTTGCTTTAAGTTAGAAATATGCTTAGTACCATCCTGCCATGCACCTAACTACCTAGCCACTGTTAACAGAGCCGGATATATTTTCAGCCCAGCATTGATTTTTCTTCATTTTTCTTTTTATGCTTATTATAATACTAGAGAGGTTCAACCAGAAAATATAAAAAGGATAACATAATTATTCACCTGTAAATTTATTGTGGTAAAGGAATTCCATCTGCAACCTTTGTCCTGCTTTCTTGGCTAGTAAGTAAGGAGTACTGTAGACAGGATCTCCAGTGGCGCACATACCATCAGCTCCACTAAATAACAATGTCAGAGTTTCCAACACGTCTTGTTTAACTACTGCAGCGCACAGGGCCTAAATCATACAGAAGGGAAATTACAAGTCTGTTTAAAGCAGAAAAATGAATGGAAGAAAGCATCGGTCTCAGTGAGGTATAAATCCTACTGTTCCTGGTCTACCCTCTCTCCCACCTTCATTCACAAAGCTAATATACAATGGATATAAGGAATTATAATATAAGGTCTGAACTCATTTTGTTCCAACAGAAAAGCCTTCATGATCTTACTGTACTAGTGCACAGGTTTGGCTAGCTAGATGTAAGCCTGACTCAATGCCTATGATAGTAGAGGCAGCATAAATATGGGAAGAAGTTCACTAATTTTTCTGGACTAAAAGTGAGAGACTCTTTTCTCTGTTATACCCAAGCCTCTAAAAATGATGCCATCTTTAGAACTTGGAGTTGAAAGAAAAAGCTGAAGCATGCCATAGAAATCCCTACTGTTAGAGAATCCAATGAAATAAACAGAATGGCTAAATCTTAACCCTGATTTATCAAATGACTGGGTGGGGTAGGGGAAGCTGGGGCAGCAGCCTTACTTGGGGGTCCTGGGCACCTTCCGGGGCTCCACCTAGCCATGCTCTGGTTTTGAGCAGTGCACACTGCCCCTACATGTGCCACTCTGCTTTTTTTATGCATTGAGTTTTTTTGACACTCCTGGGTATGTAGGGAGTCAACCTCTCCCCTCCTCCCTGCCTTGCAGTATACAGCACATCTGAAAGTTCGGTATGTGGTACCGCAGATGGGTCTGCGATGCCACATACTGTGCAGCCACACTCACCTGGACCTGGCCAGAGAGATTATACCAGTTTCTGCATCTGTACATCAGAGCAAGTTGTTCTGTGCTGAGTAAGACCAAAACTGTTCAATACAACAAGAGGTTCTACTTCCTCCTAATGCCCCTAACATTGATAAACACGTGGGAAATCAGGTAAATGAGAGATTTAATATTGGTATAAAAGTGAAGAAGTCTCATGCTGGTTTTATTTTCCTGCACAATGATGCACTGAACTTTTAATTGGCACTTGACCTAATTTCTCTCCCCCAGACACGTACACAAAATGGCTAAACTACAAGCAAATTACTCTCAATATATTTTATATATTGAGGTTTAGACGACAGAGGTCAATTTAAAATAGATTAAATACCACTCTCTTTATTTTTCAAGGCACATATAATGTAGTAAAGGCTCTATAATTACTTAGCAATGCCCATCTAATAACACAGTAATTTCAGGTCCCTGCAGAGCACTTGATAATTACATCTGCTTTTACCCAGTATTTAAATGATTAATTATCATTTAAAATATCTCATAGACTTCTGATTTCAGAAAGATCAACCTTCGTTATAAAGCAGAACTAACTATATTTTATTTCTATGGATAACTGTTGCCATAACCAAAGATGTGTAATGTAACAATTACCTACAAGTAACAGAATTATATTAGACCGTCTATTTTACTGTGACACTTTGGGTGAAATAATTTCCAATAACTTGAAACCTAACAGATGCATTTTTTTAGTAAACTAAACAAAAGATCTATAAAGTCAGTCAAGTATGATGTAGAATATGTAGTTTCAGTACATATGGTCTGTATTTTGAATGTGTTACTACGAAGTCATTTAACCTTCTTCCCTCTGATTATATTTTGTTTGTATCTTAATGAGTGGTCATTGCATTAGAGAGCAATTTCTTTTCGTTTCATAGTCAAAAGCTACATTTCACCAATTTAAGCTCTCCTTATCGCTTCACTGAATACATTGCACATACTTTTTTGGGCTTTTTGGCAAATATGACCAAAAGATCATCTAGTACACCATCATTCCAAACAATATGTGTTTTAACTCTGAGCGCAGCCTTTCTTCCACGTTCAAGTATTCTCAATATCTGTAACTATGACATGAAAACATCTCCTTTATAGAGTAGTCTTTATAAATCTCTATGGAGACAACCTATTAACTTAAAAGAATATAGTGGGAGGGGGGGAATCTAGGTTTTTTAAAATCATTCCATTAATTCCAGTTTATTTCACATCTAATGGGAAAAAATCTACTGAATAAGAAAGCATGAATTATTTTCACACTTGTTAATACTACATCATTTAATATGCTATATTTACTCAAACAACATGGGGATGAAAAAGCCTCGTCTTAGATTTGAATATCAGCCAAGGGCAGGCAGTGGCTCAGCTCTGACTTCAGACTAAGGCTCAGAGCCACGGCAGAGCTGAACCACCACCTACCCCAGGACAGGGTGGCTAGTGTGGAGGGAAAGCAAGCATGCGGCAGGGGTGGCAAGTGAGAATGACATGGGGCGGGGGAGCGCAGGGGAGACCCACCTGTACAACTCTGGGTGCACGTAGTGACTTAGGAGAAGCTATGCAGCCTGCCCCCTCCCATCCCCTACTAGCTGCTTACCTTCTGCCCTAGCTCTGCCCTTGAAGAGTAAGATCAGACTGAGGCCCTGCCACTAACTACCCCAGAGCAGAGAAGCAGAATATAAGCAGAAGGGAGGGGTGCAGGTGACAGGGGTCAGACAGACATGAAGGGGTGAAGGGACGATGGGTGTTGCGGGCAGGCACAGTCAAGCGAAAGTAAGGTGGCAACTGGCAGGGGGGATAGGCACAAGTATGGAAGCAAGAGACAGGCAACGGGTGTAGCCCCATGTTTCCCTGTTGCTGTTTTCCCCGCCGCAGCAGTGGCAGGGGAGGGGAAGGACAAACAGGAAACAAATTTAAAGATGACATTCCATTAATTAGATTCTATATATGGAAAATAAAAACAAATTTATAATTTTCCATGTATAGGATCTAATTATTTGGCGGGGCAGTTTCTTAAGTTCGAAGTTGTCTTGGATTCAGGTAAATATAGTAGTAAACATTATTTACCAGATGTATAACATAATACAATAAGTATGTTAAGATGACACCTAAGCCACTGAAGTGTTAATTTTTAATCTCCAAAGCATGTTTGTTTAACTAGTGGATTTGGTTAGGTATATTACCAGAACACATACCATCGTTTCTGAAAACCAAAAACATGGTGTCAAAAACTACAGTTTATAACAGTTATGTATATCTGATAAATACTTTAATGGATCAAAAATTGAATTCATCACAAGGTATTTTACGTTGTATAGCTTATTGTTACACAGATCCATCAACAGTATCTAACAATATGACCTTCACTTAAAATTAAATTAAAAGGTAAGATTATTTGAGGGACAATATACGGGATGTTTGTAAATAAAAGTCTCTCCAAAGTACATCAGTGCTTCTACACCTAAGTGATTAATATCATACACATGAAAAGATCAACAAATGCATCACAAAAATTTAAGCAATCATTTCTGACCCTAGCTTTACACTATACAGTTAGAATTCCGAGCTCTCTTTATTCTAGTGCCAGGAGTTACAAACTGGACTACAGAGAAGTAGAAACTGTGAAAACTGGCTCACATGTAGCTTTGTGCATTAAAACTATTATTGAGAGACTGTTGGGGGCTTAACCTGGTTTTTACCATTTATTATTAAACAATCAAACAATAACCAGGAAACAGCAGTTAAGTGACTTTCAAAACATACTTCGTATACGTCATGGCAAGATCAGGTTTATGGTTTATCATAATATTACCTTGTTTAACTCTTCTCTGGTCCTGTATGCAAAAGACATTTTCCTGAATTTTCCTTCTTTGTATTTTTGTGTAATAAATGTTATCCTTTTATCTATAGGGGAGTCCATATGCAACTCTTCATCTGGAGGAAGATTCCCTGCCCAAAAGCTGTTAGCCCTTTTATTTCCAATGACAATAAAAAGCTGCAATAAATAAATAAATAAAAGTGTCATAGAATATACACATATTATTTATATTTATGTATGAAACATATAATATTTCTCTCTCTCTCTCTGGGGGAAACAATGGAAGTCATTGCTTATGCTGTCCTGCAAAATGGGGAATGAATAATGAAAGAGTTCAGAACTCTATGTCTATGATTAATCATCAATAGCAACTGAAGCTTCATAATGCTAGCCAGATACGGTATTTCAATAACACTTCCTGAAAGTTTGACAGAGGGCAGGCAAATATGTTTTAGAAGCCTGCTGTGCTGAACACCATCTTCTACTTTTCAAAGTAAACAACAAATCCCCAGAGGAACCCAAAAAAAAAGAGGAAAGAGGAGAAAGATTTTTTTTTTTAAATCAACAACAGATTTTGCTCTTAATTTTCAAAAAGCTTTGCCATTCAAGAAATATTCCTTATGAGTACTGAACTTTCTCAAAAAGAAAGAAAAAGTACTAAGCGCCATCATTTACGAGCAATTCACAGGAAAGGAGAACATTTAAGTAGCATATTTCTCAGCACCATTACACTTTCACTTCTTTGCTTGAATTTTGCTTGATCTAAGAGCGTATTACAAGAAGACAACATTTTGGGTACGACAGAACCATTAAACATACGATAATGTATTAAGTCACAGCAAAGTAAACCTCTCTACCGGGAGCCTTGTACCTAGTGAAGGTTTGAAGGCAGCAGCCACTGCTGTTGTATTGACTGTCAGCTGTAGGAGGCACAGAAGAATATGCAAAGCAAAGGGAGGAAAATCAGTTACGCCCTTTCCCTAGTACTTTGTCCTTGTACAAAACTAAAAGGAACAAAATAATCAGGCCTTGAATACATAGATTATGTTTAATCATTACATTTAAAACATTTAATTAGTTATAAAACAACACTGCTAATTCAATATTACTGGAAATCTTATAATGTGCAATCCAATAAGATTCTTTAAATCAGGAATACTGGAAAAAAATCCAAAATTTTAAGCATAAACAAAGAAATTTATTTATACTACTTCATTTAAATACTTTATTTACCTCAATAAGTTCATTGCTCCAAATACTGCCATCCATTTTTAGGCTCCGGACCTTTGAATCTCTTGGTCCTAAAGATCTGTGTTGCCCTGAACAAAAGAAGCCATACATTCATAAATATAAAAATTTAGCCTTACTGATTAAAAAGCAAAACAAAATGTCTTTTTTGTTTAAACCAAAACTGGCCTTAGTGTAACTCGTAGCACTAGAATGAACTATATACAATCTGAACTTCTTTTTAGGTACGTACAGCCAGACTGCTTTCACTATATAATAAAAGAAGCCCCCAAAACTAGAAGTTTAAATTATTTGGAACAAGGATGTTATCTTTCTTACGCAAGTATTGTGTATATTTATTCCTTCTCCAAATATTGAATAAGAATTATGAAGAGACAACATATTTTCTCTAACTGGTGCAGCATAGCATTTTACGTTTTTTTATTTTATTTACAATTTTGGTTTTCCACACATTTACTTCAAGCATAAAAAAATCCCACTTTACCTGCAATTTTAAAAGCATGTTAAACACACACACTTTCCAATATACAAGTAAGCTGCTAACAACTTCTCAAAAAAAGATTTCCCTGTCATTGTAAAATATAGCCAGAAGTTATGGAGGTTATTTCTGCTATTTTTAATTTACAACATCCACTCAAATTTTCTATTCTTCATTTACAGCCCAGTTCTACAATATACTAGCAGCCTCTTCAGAAGTGCCAAGCAGCCATAAATTTAATTAGTAGCAAATAATTATTATTTTGAAGGGCACTGAACACCAGAGGATTGACCACTTATTTATGCATTAAAGAGTTTAGAATAACGATTAACAATTCTAGTCTTTGCTTTAATAGTATAAGAAATATCCTTCAATTTCCATTTCTCAAAACTTTTACAAAGACATATTTCACAGGACAAATGTAAAAATAAAACAGCCAATGCAAGGACGTGTATACGTACGCATATATGACATTCAACAGAACTAACATGGTCTATTATTAATTACTCTACCTGCACACTTCTTACAAATGACAACACAGAGATTGATGGATGCCCAGTCTGGATTTGGAGCTTTACAATCAGCACAACTCCTATTTGACTCATTGAACCAAATCTTCTCAGCTACTTCATAATCAGAGAGAGTTTCTGCTATTGATTGCTGCAGTGCTTCAATCCACTCTTGTTTCTCCCTTTCAGACTCTGCTGTAAAGCTGAAAGAATTGACTTTTCTGCATTATTGATCTTTATTTTAAAGCCCAATTAAACAAGATCTGTATTCTGCCTTATTTATTTAATCACAGATGAAATTGTAGGTCAAAATAAAACAAATTCTTCTCTACATGTTTAAATATTAAAGATGGAGGATATTCTTTCATTTTGTTCTTTCATGAAAACACTTCAAATATCATGTTCTTAAAAAGCTAACTGGGATTAAAAGCACTAGAAATGAAGTTTGCAACATGGAGTTGATTTCAATCTTTGTACCTCTACATAAGATAGATTTAAATTTGTGTCACAACTGCCTTAGGAGATATGAGCATTTACCAAGGAGAAAGTAGGTTATGGATAACTCCTTAAGACAGACTGAGATTCCAATGGTGTTGGTATAATGCAAGCCAAGGTACATATTATCTGATGCAAGTAGACATAGCATCAAGTCACTGGTCATGAATGATGTTCTAGACTGATGAGGATGGGGGGTGGGGATAAAAATAAAAAAGGGATCAATGGAACTGAGTGAAAAAGACATTTACTTTGTAGTCTCCTATCTGAAGACTAGTGTCCAGAAAAATCAAGGAGGGAAAAGAAAAGGAATTATTTTCCTATGTTCTTGATAGATGTTCTACTACATAAATGTTCTACTAGTTTCAGCAGGAAGCTCTTAAAAATCCTCACATGCCAGCCATTTTAAGTAGATACTTATACCTATTTACTTTTTCTTTAAAAAAAAAATTACATTGTACCATCATCTAGAATGAGACAAAGCACAGAAAGTGTATTACAAAATAAGAACTTTTGAGGCCTGGGATGTTTAATAAATAGACAACATTAAAAAGAAATGCTAAGGAAAAAAAATCTTGCAGCTATTTAAAATGTTGAGTAACCAGTATAATCAACATCTAATCAATATAGTCAACACACAATCACATAATTAATAATCTATTTACTAAACTGAGATTAAGCAAAAAATTCTACAGCGTATTACATCTTTTTTTTTTTTTAAGAAATGAAACATTAAAAGTTCTTACCTAAAGCTTTTATAAGGAGTGATAATTTCAAAAGACTGCTTTGCACTCCGGTCCACCTGTTTTACATTGGCCACATTCAGAGGGATTATAGTGATGCCAAACCCAGTCTTAAAATCCTGGAAGCAATGACAAAAAAAATGGTGGTGGAGGATGTGGTTAGATTTCATCCTTCATGGATAAAACAAATTAAACAAGAAGCTTTCTAACCACATTATCTAGTATACATACTGTTCACAACATGTAATTTTTTCCTCTTTTTAATTAAGGACAGTTAAAATGCACCAGATTATATCCTACATTACTGTTCCACTTACGTGATTCCTGCAGTTGCCAGTGGGAAGAGAAGCTAGCTGTGTTAGTCTGAGTCAGTTGGAAGGCAGGGCAGGGTAGTATCTTAGAGCCTAACTGGTACAAAGCAGCATAAAGCTGTCACAGGCAACAACACATTTTGTCATACTACTGAAGAAGGCTGTTGCCTATGATAGCTCATACCTCTCCGAATTAGTTTGTTTCTAAAGGAGCCACCCTGCCATATCTTCTGCCTACTGATACTAGTGCAATTAAATTCATTACAATTGGGGGAAATGGTTCTTTCAGTTCTGAACAAGACAGCACTAATCTAAAAGCTATATTTTCACACAAGGCCAAACACTGGATTAAAACTTGCTTCATTTTTTCCCTAAAAATCTTTATAGAGAGAGAGAGAGAGAGAGAGAGAGAGAGAGAGAGAGAGAGTGTGTGTGTGTGTGTGTGTGTGTGTGTATGTGTATTTTAATATATAATAAGTAAAATTTCTGTTTTAGAAGAATAAATATTACTTATTTTTACAACAGAATGATACAACAAAGTTTAAAAAATACAGTTGTTAAACATTCATCATTTCTATGAGACTGATACAAATTTGAGAAAGTAAGTTCAGCTCTCCACATTTTAAATTCCCAATCTATAAACTAAGGTACAGGTAGTCCTCAGACTTGCAACACAATTGGTTCCTGAAAACAGTGTCTTAAGTCAAAACTTTGCAACTTGGAACGAATTTTCCCATAAGAAACAATTTTATAAATGGGAGATCCTGAACCAATGTCCAACACCCTTTTTCACCAAAAATAACCTAGAATTTTGTACTCAATCAATTATAGATTGGTAATATAGCTACATTAATATATTTATATTGTAAATAGCAATTTTATTGATTTAGAAGGACTTCTTGGAGGTGACTTTGCTGGACTTTTTGAAGGGCACTTGGTTGGACTTTTTGATGGGTTCTTGGCTGGAGTCTTCTCGGGGTCTTAGAAGACTCTGCAGGTTTTTCAGGCATCTTGTCTGCTTTCTTGAAGAAAGTGTCCAAGGAAGTTTGGACAGAAGTTCCCCAGGGAGATGGGTAATGCAGCGAACTTTTCGCCAGCATCGCGTCATGTCAGATCAAGAGTTGTCAAGTCAAAACTGACATCATAAAGTTGAAACAGGGTATCAATTTATAAAACATTGCAAGTGCAAAACGTTGCAACTCAAAACTTAAGTCAAGGACCGCCTGTATGTGGTGTTCACCTTTGAAAGGTGCTTTGGAAGAACAGTATTCTACAACAGCCAATAACACTAGGACTAGTTGTGGCTAGGATGTTAGAGATGCTAAGCATGTGATGCTTCTGTTAAAGACAACATGAGTCTTTAATGCAAGTTGAGTGCCTAATCTCACTTAGAAAATAGCACACTGATATTCATCAGTTTGAGCATTCATCTATTCCCTTCCCTGTGGCTGTATTACATCTCCCACAATGCATCACATTCCCTTCTTTCAATTACATGAAGTTACGCATCAGGCTATACTACGGTAGTGTAGTACAGTTGGGAATATAAACCTATAGACAAAACTAGAACACAAAGAGCAAACTGTGGCTCCCACAAGACTTTCCTCAACTGTTTCAAATGAAAACAGCTGTGGAAAAAAAAATCTGTAAATAGATTTCTCTGTAATTGTTTAGTTGAAAACCCAAATTACAAAAAAAACAATTTAGATGAAAAATATTCAAGTAGCCCTTTTCAGGTGCTTTCATAAGAACAATTATACTTGAAACTGAGGGACAACTCTGATATTTTTGCTCCCTACCCATTCTAGGTGCTGTCAGAATTTCCTTGAAATAAAATTACTAGGTATTCGGAATGCTAAAATGAATGGCACAATGCATTAATGATGAAAGTGATAACATTAATGCAGTTCCAGGAAATGGTATTAGGATTCTTACCACTGCATTCCCACTGGCAAGCAAAATATTTTTAAACACAACATTGACCAATTAGCTGAAAATGAATAGGAAATATAAAATAAGTTTATAATCACAAATCGTTTATTGATAATTGCTTCTCTGCAGGATGCAAGACATTTGCACCATACTGATACCTGGTCAGAAAACACAGTATATGATCCGCCTTTTAAGATGGATGGAACACTGTGCTACTGTTCTTCTTAAAAGTGTCTGTACGCAGAGTAGGAAAACCTGATTATGTTTTCCAGCTAGACTTGACAACACACAAAACACAAATCCTTCTTTAAAATATTTTTTAACTTTTTTAACAGGACTCATGTCATCCAATATTAAGTATTCAAACTTGGGATTTCAGCAAAAACGTAAATTCTTTCAATTTTGTTTCCTCTATTTCCTCCCTTCCTTTTTAAATGTTTGTACTTTTCTTCTGCTTTTATACTATGCCTCTAACAGACTCAGTTTTATTCCTCTCCTCCCTCCTCTACCATTTTCAACCTCCCTGATCCTCTGATCCTGCTTTTCTTTTTTAAAAAAAATCAATTACTTTGATGCTAAAATATTTACTCTACATATGTCAGCACCTTCAAAAGACCTCTATGGAGCATACACAATGACTAATTCAATCTCTCTGATCAACTCTATGGCTAGAGTGGGAAGTATGATTACCCTTGAACATGGACTTAACAATATATTATATAACAATGAAGCATTCTTAAAAAGTCAGGCTTTACAGGTAAGAGAAAAAAATAATGATACACAAGTTAAAAAGAGAAAAAAAGACAGAGGTAGACTGAGCCTGAAAAATATTCAATTTTGATCAATGCTGGCTGTGGTGTTTTAAATCACATGGGTAAACAAGAAGAAAAGACAACCAATAGGAATAACAGCCATCATTTCTTTAAGTTTTAAAATACTAAGTAAATGAATGCTCCAATTACTTATTTATAAAAATTCCAGAAATGGCAGGGACATAAACACAACTGTTCAACAACTACACCTTAAGAACTGCGTATAATCAAATAAGAAAAATAAGATTTAGGGGATATAATCGCTCCAAAGTCCAGACTGGAGATTGCTGCATTTTCCCCATGTTTCCTACAGATAAGGAGCAGAGACTAAGGGGGTGGGGAAATAGGATGGGGGGAAAGAGGGAACAAAAAACAAAATAAAAAACCCCACACCTCTCCATATATCTCTTCCTCTTCCCATAACTTTATACACCAAGGGCCCTGGTAGAGGTTACATTTACAGCATGCTTAACAAGTTAATTGAGCCATAAATACTAACCCTGTCACAAGTTCAGCCAATTAACAGTGCATTAAAATGAAAATTGCAAAACTGTTGACAGCAATAGTATGTAACCTATCATTATGAATGGTCTCTGTACCTGAGAGCTGACAGGTTGCCAACATAACACCCATCTTCAAAAAGGATTCAAGAGGTGAAACCAGTGATTCCCCCCCCACCCCGTGCCATCACTGGCAAGCTGGTAGAATCTATAATAAAGAATTAAATCAGTAATCATATGTGCAATTATTACATGCCAAGGAAGAGTCAGCATTTTTTTTGTAATGGGAAATCCTGCCTTGACCTACTCGGTGCAGCAGAGTCTCAGACCCGCAGAGACTCCCTTTGCCTGAAGAAGGGTGACTGCACCTGAAAGCTTGCCAAGAACTTTTTTCCAACTATTCAGTTGGTCTAATAAAAGATATCACATCTACTCAAAGAACCTTGCCTACCAGACGATACCAAGTAATTTTGCACAGTCAATTCCTAAGGTGACATGGAGGAGCTGCAGAAAGATCTTGCCAGGCTAAGTGAGTAGGCAAAAAATGGCTGATGAACTTTAACGGCACATGCGGAAATATAATCTCAATTGCATGTACATAATGCTAGGTTCTAAACTAGCTGTTATGACTCAGGAAAGAGATCTCAGTCATTCTAAGTAGTTCTCTTAAAAGATCATGTCAGCATGCAGTAAGGATTTTTTTAAAACTGTTAAAATAATGGGCATCATTAGGAAGGGAATAGAAAACAAAACTGAAAACATGCCACTATACACATCCATGGTATGCCCACATCTTGAATACTGTGTGTAGTTCTGGCCCCACATCTAAAAAAAGATGCAATAGAATTAGAGAAGGTACAGAGAAGGGCAACCAGAATGATCAGGAGTATGAAGCAGCTGCCATACAAGGAGACTCTAAAAAAGGCTAGGACTTTTCAGTTTGGAAAAGAGAAGGCTGAAGAGGAATGACAGAGGTCTATGAAATCATGAAGGCTGTGGACAAAGTGAATAAGATACTGTTATTCATCAAGTGCTAGTATTCTGGGACTAGGAGGCACCCAATGATAGCAGGAAACAAGTTTAAAACTAACAAAAGAAAGTACTTTATAGTGCTGCATTTGTTTAACATGTAAATTCATTGCCACAGGAGGTTGTAGATGCAAAAGGTATAGCCAGGTTCAACAAGTGATTAGACAAATTCATGGACAATAGATTTATTAGTAGATATTAAACAGGACAACACCCCTTCCTGTTAGGGTAGTCATATTTTAAGCTTTAAAGCAGCACCTGTTTATAGACTGATGAATTATAGTACGGTTTACAGTTTTCTTTCTTTTGTATTCAGCCTAAAGTTCTGTATAGCCTGATTGTTATCTGAACTTTCCATTTTGCTGGTGTTCGCAATATCAGCTGGCCTTGATTCTTGCAAGCAGCTTATGGCCTTAAGTTTGTTCGCATGGTGTTTCTTTCCTTTTTCTATCTCTGTAAGAAGTTCGTCTAACACAACATAGTAATAGTCTTGTTACTAGCTCTAATTAACTGAATGTGGCACTAACCAACTGAA